AAGCCTCCCACAAGGATGGTCGAACATCAAACATCCCTGGGCGATGTCCTTGCAGACAGCCAATTCTCGCATACCAGAAGCGACTTGCAGTTTCTCAAGTTGCTCCTGACACATCCTAAAATCGCATTAGCTTTTTGAGCTGCTGCATCACGCTGTTGACTCAGCCTGTGAGTTTAGCTTCTTAATGCTTCTCACTTCTCAGACTGAGCCCAGCTTCCACCTTCTTCCCATGCTTGGGCTGAGACCGTCCTCGCCTTCCCACGCGCACATTCGCACCCAGATCTCCGCATCTGCGCCCCGTCCAGGGTCTTCTCGAGGGACGGATCTAGATGGGGAGTAGTGTGTCATGTGTTATTATGGTGGGAAAGGCGTTGTTTTCTCAAGGCAGAGCCACCTGCTGCCGGTGACAGCCCCTTTCCATCTCGCACACGCATCGCACACGCACGCCGGCACATCCACACCTCTGCACCAGCAGCCCGGCCACCCACGCGCTGGCAGCATCACGACACTCACAACGGCACCGTCCGCCCACACAACAGCAGGCGCATGAGGGGCTCACAGTCATCAGTCACACTTTGTGGGAACAGCAACACCCACAGGAAGAAGCACACACACTCACACACACAAAGAACGGGTGATGTATGCATCTTCACCTCCTCCGTGACTGATTTGGTTACCTGTTCGAGTTCCGTCTAAGGGGAAAGGGCCATTTCAAAGGCATCTCAGTAGGATTGTTGCATTCCCAGGGACGGTGCCAAGTCCTTTCTCAAATCTGGCAGCCTGGATGTTTTGCTTGCTTACAGAAAACCCACCAGATCCATAGCTTTTATTTATTCATTTTAAACCATACCCCAGCTTTTCTCCAATATTATGTTTGCTAGAAACCATTACAGAGTAAAACAAACAAAAGTACCAGAAAGTGAGACTACATTGAATGGATGGATGGATGGAAGGAGGGAAGGAAAGAAGGAAAGAAAGGAGAAGGGGGAAGAGATAAAATGATAGATAGATAGATAGATAGATAGATAGATAGATAGATAGATAGATAGATAGATCGGGGAGAGATAAAACAATAGATAGATAAGATAGATAATATAGATAGATGGAAATGGGGACGATAGATAGATAGATAGATAGATAGATAGATAGATAGATAGATAGATAGATAGATAGATAGAGACAGGGGGAGAGAAGATGATCGGTAGATAGTTAGATATTTGTTTATTTGCCATGTCAGGGCAACCAGTCTATTATATTACATTTCTAACAGAACAAAGCAAACAAACAAACAGACAAAATACAAAATTTGTGAAGTTTGGTAGATGATTAAATGTCCTTTGACTACTATCTGGCCACTTGGAGTGCCTCTGGTGTTGCTGCAAGAAGGTCCTCCCCTTGTGCATGTGGCAGGGCTCAGGTTGCATTGCAGCAGGTGGTCAGTGGTTTGCTCCTCTCCACACTCGCATGTCAAAGATTCCACTTTGTGGCCCCATTACTTGAGGTTGGCTCTGCATCTTGTGGTGCCAGAGCGCAGTCTGTTCAGCACCTTCCAAGTCGCCCAGTCTTCTGTGTGCCCAGGGGGGAGTCTCTCATTTGGTATCAGCCATTGGTTGAGGTTCTGGGTTTGAGCCTGCCACTTTTGGACTCTCGCTTGCTGAGGTGTTCCAGCGAGTGTCTCTGTAGATCTTAGAAAACTATTTCTAGATTTAAGTCGTTGACATGCTGGCTGATACCCAAACAAGGGATGAGCTGGAAATGTCTCTGCCTTGGTCCTTTCACGATTGGCTGCTACTTCCCGGCGGATGTCAGATGGTGCAATACCGGCTAAGCAGTGTAATTTTTCCAGTGGTGTAGGGCGCAGACACCCCGTGATAATGCGGCATGTCTCATTAAGAGCCACAACCACTGTTTTAGTGTGGTGAGATGTGTTCCACACTGGGCATGCATATTCAGCAGCCGAGTAGCACAGCGTAAGGGCAGATGTCTTCACTGTGTCTGGTTGTGATCCCCAGGTTGTGCCAGTCAGCTTTCGTATGATATTGTTTCTAGCGCCCACTTTTTGCTTGATGTTCAGGCAGTGCTTCTTGTAGGTAAGAGCACAGTCCAGAGTGACTCCCAGGTATTTGGGTGCGCTGCAATGCTCCAGTGGGATTCCTTCCCAGGTGATAGTTAGATTAGATATAGATAGAAAGATAAGACAATAGATAGATTAGATAGATAGATAGATAGATAGATAGATAGATAGATAGATAGATAGATGGAGACAGGGGAGAGATAAGACAATAGATAGACAGATAGGTAGGTAGGTAGGTAGGTAGGTAGGTAGGTAGGTAGGTAGATAGATAGGATACACAGACAGACAGATAGATAGAGATGGGGAAAATATAAGATTATAGATAAATGATAGAGAGAGAGAGAGATGGGGGAGATATAAGAAAGGCAGACAGACAGATGGAAATGGGAGATGTAAGATGATGGATGGATATGCGTCGCAAGCGCATTTGGTGAGGACGAAGGACAGGGCCTTCTCTGGGTGGTCCCCCGACTCTGGAACTCTCTCCCCAAGGACATCGGACAAGCCCCAACATTGGCAGTCTTTAGGAAGAGCCTGAAGACCTGGCTGTTCCAGTGTGCCTTTCCAGAATAGGAAACTCCTAGCATCATGTCCCAAATACACTTTGTTAGAGATTTAGGATTGTCTGCACATTGCACCTACCGCCAAAAACCTCTACATTTCACCTGTCATGTCCAGCACTTTTAAATTTGTCCATTCATTTGGCCCGGCCTAGGTTTTAAATGCGCCATGTTGTTGTTTTTAGTGTTTTATTGTTTTTGCTTGATGTTTATTATTTGCTTTATGAGTTTTACTGTTGTACTTGTATGCTGTTGATAGTTGGCCTTGGCCTTTGTAAGTCGCATCGAGTCCTTCGGGAGATGTTAGCGGGGTATAAATAAAGTTAATAAATATGAGGAGATATAAGATGATAGATAGATGATAGATAGATAGATAGATAGATAGATAGATAGATAGATAGATAGATAGATAGATAGATAGATAGATGATAAACAGCTCTCGATAGATAAGTAGATAGATAGATAGATAGATAGATAGATAGATAGATAGATAGATAGATAGATAGATAGACAGACAGATAGATAAGACAATAGATAGATAATATAGATAATATAGACAGATAGATGGATGGAGACGGGAGATATAAGACAATAGATAGATAGATAGCTGGAGAGAGAGAGGGAGAGAGATACAGATAGAGATGGGGGAGATATAAGACAGACAGACAGAAATGGGAAATGTAAGATGATGGATGAAGATGGGGGAGATATAAGATGATAGATAGATAGGGGGGGGGGAAATAAGACAATTGGTCGATAATTAGATGATAGATCGATAGATAGATAAGAAATAGATAAGATAGATATTATAGATAGATGGATGGAGACAGGGGAGATGATAGATAGATAGATAGATAGATAGATAGATAGATAGATAGATAGAAATGGGAGATATAAGACAGACAGATAGGGCAAATATTAGATAGATAGATAGATAGATAGATAGATAGATAGATAGATAGATAGATAGGTAGGTAGGTAGATAGGTAGATAAATAGATAGATGGACGGACGGACGGACGGACCAAGATGGGAAGATATAAGACAATAGATAGATAGATAGATAGATAGATAGATAGATAGATAGGTAGGGATAAGACGGTCAGTAGATAGTTAGATGATAGATAGCTAGATAAAACAATAGATAGATAAGATAGATAATATAGATAGATGGATGGAGACAGGTGAGATGATCAATAGATAGATAGATAGATAGATAGATAGATAGATAGATAGATAGACAGACAGACAGACAGATAGACAGATAGATAGGGCAAATATTAGATGGATGGACGGACGGATGGACGGACGGACCAAGATGGGGAGATATAAGACGATACATAGATAGATAGATAGATAGATAGATAGATAGATAGATAGATAGATAGATCGATAGATAGACAGATAGACAGATAGAGAGGTAAGGATAAGACGATCAGTAGATAATTAGATGATAGATAGATAAAACAATAGATAGATAAGATAGAATCATAGAATCAAAGAGTTGGAAGAGACCTCATGGGCCATCCAGTCCAACCCCCTGCCCAAGAAGCAGGAATATTGCATTCAAATCACCCCTGACAAATGGCCATCCAGCCTCTGCTTAAAAGCTTCCAAAGAAGGAGCCTCCACCACACTCCGGGGCAGAGAGTTCCACTGCTGAATGGCTCTCACAGTCAGGAAGTTCTTCCTAATGTTCAGATGGAATCTCCTCTGATAGATAGATAGTATAGATAATATAGATGGAGACAGGGGAGGTGATCAATGGATGGATGGATGGATGGATGGATGGATGGATGGATGGATGGATGGATAGATAGATAGATAGATAGATAGATAGATAGATAGATAGATAGATAGATAGATAGAAATGGGAGATATGAGACAATAGATAGATAGGGCAAATATTAGACATAGATAGACAGACAGACAGATAGATGAATGGATCAAGATGGGGGAGATATAAGATGATAGGTAGGTAGGTAGGTAGGTAGGTAGGTAGGTAGGTAGGTAGGTAGAGACAGGGTAGAGATAAGACGATCAGTAGATAGATGATAGATAGATAGATAGATAGATAGATAGATAGATGATAGATAGATGATAGATAGATAGATAGATAGATAGATAGATAGATAGATAGATGAGACTGACTTCATAGAAATCAAGCCAAAGTGGTTTATTTTATGTTTCAAAACAAAGACCTCATCACGTAACATAAGTTACCTTTTAATCCATCACAATAGCAAGGCCTTTTGCCCTTTGGAGAAGGTATGCCTGGCTGGCTGTCTGGCTTCCTTCCTTCTGTCCGTCCGTCCGTCCCCTGCCTGGGGCAGACCCTGATACTCTCCTTGCTCTCTCTCCATCCAGACAATCTTTCCTACATTGAGCACATCTTTGAGATCTCCCGCCGCCCCGACTTGCTCACCATGGTGGTGGAATACCGGACCCAAGTGCTGAAGATCTCCGAGGAAGACGAAATAGACACCAAGCTCACCCGAATCCCCAGCGCCAAGAAATACAAAGGTCAGAGGTTGGGTTGGACCCTTACTTGGGAGGACGGGCAATGTGGGTTTCGTGATACCATCTTCCCCCAAAACAGTTCTAGATCCCCGCCAGTGTCCTCCACCAACTAAATACTGCCTTCCACCCAACTGAAGGCTTTCATACGGGGACCATTTCATCTTAGATTTGTGTTTCCTCCACCACAAACATCCCAGGGTTCCTTTCTCTCTCTCCATTGGTGTGTAATTTGCATGACCCCGCCCACTGCCTCTCTCTTAACCCTTTTCTAGCATTTCCTAATGCACACAGCAAAAAGGAATGATCAGCAACTGAAAATACTGGAGGGATTTGGAGGTCTGACTCAATAGGTTGGAAGTTGTAGTTCACCCTGCAGAGAACTGTGACTCTGGGCTTGGACCACATTTGGCACACAGAACCCCCATGACCAGGCTTCAGGGGAAGTGACCTTGATTTATAGTTGTAGTTCACCAACCCGGGCACCATTTTATTTTGTTATTGTATTATTATTATTATTATTATTATTATTATTATTATTATTATTATTAGAAACACAACAAGATGAGCCCACAGCACACACTCTGCTGGCTGTTGTATTGGATCCCACATCGGACACTTCCCAAGTATCTAGGACTGTATGATGTATTTATTATTATTATGATTATGATTATGATTATTATTATTATTATTAGAAACACAACAAGATGAGTACACAGCAGACAATCTGTTGACTGTTGAATTGGATCCCACTTCGGACACTTCCCAAGTATCTAGGACTGTGTGATGTATTTTTTATTATTATTATTATTATTATTATTATTATTATTATTATTAGAAACACAACAAGATGAGTCCACAGCAGACACTCTGCTAGCTGTTGAATTGGATCACACGTTGGACACTTCCCAAGTGTCTAGGACTCTGTGATATCTTCTTCTTTTTCTTCTTATTATTAGAAACATAACAAGATGAGTCCACAGCACACACTCTGCTGGCTGTTGTATTGGATCACACATCGGACACTTCCCAAGCTGGTCTGAGTCCCTCTACGGAGGTAGAGGAGATCGGGATATAAAAGTTTTAAATAAATAATAAATGTAAATAAATAAGTGTCTAGGGACTGTGTGATGTATAGGTGAATAATGTGTGCAGATCCCAGTAAGGTGGCCTTCTGCAGTTTTAGTGCAGGCCAAGGTCTTGAGGCACTGCACCCAGTGTGCCGATCACCATTGGGACCACCTTGATTGGCTTGTGCTAGAGTTTTTGCAGTTCGATCTTTAAATTTTCATATTGTGCCAGCTTTTCCAGTTGTTTCTGTTCAATCGTGCTGCCACCGGGGATTGCAACATCGACAATCCATACTTTGTTTTTTAACACGATTGTGAGGTCATTTATTTATTTAAATTTATTATTTATTTAAAACTTTTATACCCCGATCTTCTCTACCTCCGTAGAGGGACTCAGACCGGCTTGGGAAGTATAACAATAATAAATACATCACACAGTCCTAGACACTTGGGAAGTGTACTCCAGAACTCTTTCTGTCTGATTTCAGAAGTCCCAGACTGTTGTTGTTGTTGTTATTATTATTATTATTATTATTATTATTATTATTATTATTATTATTATTATTATTATTATTAGGGGTCCAAAAACAGGATGTCATGTGAGCCCCATCTGGGCAGAACCCCATTGGTGTGATCCACGGAAGCCATTCTGACATTCCCTTTTCTCTTTTCTTTCCCGTGACACAGACATCATCCGGCAGCCGTCTGAGGAAGAGATCATCAAGCTGGCTCCCCCACCCAAGAAAGCTTAAAGTAGGCCGGAAGGAGGGAGGAGGAAGACGAGGAAGAAGAACCACCCCTGCCCCTTCTGCTCCCCCCGAGTTTGGGCAGTCGCAGCTGTACCTCCTCTCCTCCTCTGACCACATCCTCCTCCTCTTTTTTTCAGATTGGGAGGGTGAGGTGGGGCGGTTTGTGGGGTTGGCAGCAGTGGTAGCCACTAACCAAATCGTCACCCCAGCCCTGCAAAAACCCCTACTTTTCCCTCCTTCCCCTTCAATTTCCCACCTTGAATGGATTCAGAGTGTTCCCCCATAGGGGAAGAGTCTGATCCCGGTTGAGAAAAGAAGAAAAGGGGGCTTGCTTGGAAGTGCTATGCAATTGTGGATCTCCCCCTTTGCCCCCCTCGGCAGCCGCTCCAGCCCACCCTGGCACCAAAGGGAAGGGAAAGACCCCTTAAATCGAACCTAAATCATAGTAAGAGATGTTTGGTAAGAGATGAGGATGTAGGAGACAAGGAGATGAGAACGGGTAGGGGTCCAGAGACAGTGGGAAGCATCAAAACTCATATACCTTTAGATGGGGCAGCATTGGGGTCTCACCTCATGAGACGATAGGTGGGGCAGCTTAATGAGAGGCAGTTCACCTCTTAGGTGCTGCAATGGAGCACAATGGGTGGGGAGGGGGTAGAAAGGGGAAATGCACTTTGTTGTTCTCATTGAGAGGGATTCTAGTTGAAATGGGGAAGGGGATATCCTGGGAATGCCATGGATACTTGCGGAGCAGAGACAGAGAACTGCTTTTCTCTTGCTGCGAGCCCCATATCGCTTTGAGATTTTGCTGTCCAGATTCCCAGCAGCTCATGATGGCTACCTCTTGGACAGCCCACCTTGGGGGCTTTGCAACAACCGCTAAGGCCTCACCTGCTATCTCGTCTTTCCCACCCAGCAGCGTGGCTGTTTGCTGACCCCTCAAAGTGGCACAGGAGCAGTTGGGAATGGGTATGTTGGCACAATGAGATGCATTGGCAAGCCTCTTTCACGCTTCTGGAATCAGAATGGTTTGGAGATGCAAGGAAAAAGGGGGCAGGTAATTCCTCTTGAGCAAGACTGGGGTGGCTACTAAGAAAACAAAGGGCAGAGAAAGTTAGGGCAAGGAGAAAGTATTGGATAAAGAAGGTCAGAGTAATAGATTAGGAAGGAAAAGTTGGTCTAAGTAGCCATCGGATTTGGGGGTCTCCTCCTTCCCTTTCAAGGTCTACAGAGATCAGTGGGCACCTTGAGTGGCTGTTGATTCCGCCGGCCCACTAGTTGCCCACCTTTACCATACCCACCGTCGACTTTGTGCCTTTCCTCAGTGTTGGTTGTCGTTCCGTCGCCTCCCTTTTAGTGCCTCTTCCGCCCCTTCCTGATCCTTGAGAGAAGGACCTTTCCTTCGGCTACCGTGGGCTTTTTGGAGGGGTTGCCCACCTTGGCACAGCTCTTGACCCCTTCCCGGCTTTTCGCTGGGGAAAGGTGAGGCTCGGCTGGGCTGGCAGCCTCGCTCAATACACTGGGTGGGAATGCCCTTTCTCCATTCTCAACCCAACTTGATTTTGACAGTGCTGGGTTTACAAGCTGATGTCTGATTGCAGGGACCAGCGGCCAACCTGTGCACAATTTTGGCAATGCCGCTGGTTCTGTAGTCATGAAAACCGTCACTTTTGGAGAGCATAAAGATGTCAGTTTCAAGAACCCTGGGTGCTTTGGTGAGGCTAGAGCTCATCTGATCCATTTCCAAGCAGAAAGAGCTGCCGCAGCTGCCAACCCCTCCATCCCACCCAAATGGGGGTCTTCGAAATGTACGCAAAGGGATGCTGAAGGCGATGGATTTCAGGGTATTCTTCTTTGCCTCCAAGCCAGTCGTCAACATAAGGTGGCATAGATAGCACTGGCTCATAATGCCCAGTCTTACCAAGTGTGGGGAGAATATGACTGGGTGGAATCCAGCGGATGCGCTTTTCCTTTCCGCTCCAGATATCCTTCAACTAACCTACCTATTTGCAGGCAGCGAGTATAGGGGAGGGGGGGGGGAGTAGAGGGGAGGGAGCTTCTAGTTTGAATACGTTGAATGGTGGAACTCACTTCAGTTGCGTTGGACTGCAAAAAAAGGATTTTTCCTGTTTTAATATATTTTGGTTATTTAATTAACGCTGAAAATCTGTGCTGTGAATCTCAGTTTGTTTAGCCAGGTAGCCCCTCCTGATCAAACGCCGTGCGCGTGAGACCTTCCCTCTGCGGCCCCGTTGTGTCTCGTGTTCTCTGTGTGGCGTGGTGATCCGCAGCTGGGTGAGAACTGTGTGTTTTCTAACAAGGCATCTGGTCAACCACCCTTCCTTCCGGTCCCCGAAGTCCCTCCTTTCCTTTCTTTACTGCCTCGAACACACACACACAGACACATGCTCCTTTCTCTGCCCGTTTTCCTTCCTGAGCCAAGGGGCAGCTTTGCTCTGGGGTTGCAGGGTCTCAACCCACTTGTCCTAGCTCTCTGGATGCCAGCTTCCTTGGTGCCTGTCGGTGCAACTTCACTGCCTTTCCAAAATTCCCAGAGCTGACAGAAGGGGCTGGAGCGAGCTGGGCAAGGCAGAGGAAAGCCTGCAAAAGAGCTGGGACAGCGCCCAGATAGGAGTCCTGCTTGGTCAAATGGGTCAAACTCTATTCCCTTTCTGCCAGGAATTACCCAATGGGAATTAGGCCTTTACCTCCTTGCACCCTCTTATTATTTATTTTGGACATTTGTATCCCGTTTTATCTCGACCTCTGCAGAGGGACTCAGGGCGGCTAACAACCGGCACACAATGGTGCCCACAACCAAAAGTATAGATATAATATAAAAACATTCAAACAGTTGCAGATTTAAAAGCAGACCGTCAAGTCCATTAAAGCCGTTGCTTCGCCAGCAGGTCAACCTAGTCTGCAAAGGCCTGGACACAAAAAATTGCAGTCCAACCAGTCTGCCACTTAGCACCACTTGTGACTCTGATCAGAATTAGGGCAGGTCTGCCAGACTGTAAAGATGACACGCAAACACACCATCAGCAGCTCTTCATCTACTAGGACGGTTGCGGGTAAAGGAGGACAAGGGCAAGACTCCTAAATCCACTGTACAGTGGCCCTTCGCTGCTTCGCGGTTCGCTTTTCGCGGACTTGCCGTTTCGCGGTTTTTCAATATGGACTTAACAGCATTTGTCTGTATGGAGAGATTGCCTCTGCGGATAAAGCCGGACCCCAACAATGACAGAACAAGACCAAACCTGGCACACAGACCCCCCCCCCCCCCAAGACCCACTCTACATTCTGGTGCAGTTTGAGCGAGGATGGACCATGGATGACGGGACTTGCAGTTGTTTAACTCACTTCCTTAGAGCACTGTGGCCCACACCAATGGCGGATCAGGACCAAACTTGCCACACAGGCCCAATGGCCCACTTTAAACCTGGTGCGGTTTAGGGTAGGATGGGCCATGAATGATGAGATTTGCAGTACCTTCACCCAATTCACTTCCCACAGAACATTGTAGCCCCTACAAATCACAGACCAGGCCCAAACTTGGCACACAGAGTACTCATGGCCCACTCTACATCCTGATGCAGTTCTAAGGGGGATGGACCATGGATGATGGGACTTGCAGTATCTTTACTCACTTACTGAAACCATTGTGACCCTCATCCCAATGACTGAACAAGACCAAATTGGCACACAGAGCCCTCATGACCCACTCTACATCCTGCTGCAGTTTAGAGGAGGGTGGACAATGGATGATGGGACTTGCAGTACTGAAACCACTGCAGCCCTCATCCAATGACTGATTAAGACCAAACTTGGCACCCACTCTACATCCTGCTGCATAACCAACTCTACATCCTGCATGACCCACTCTACATCCTGCTGCAGTTTGGAGGAGGGTGGACCATTGATGATGGGACTTGCAGTACTGAAACCACTGCGGCCCTCATCCAATGACTGATTAAGACCAAACTTGACACACAGAGCCTCCATGACCCACTCTACATCCTGCTGCAGTTTGTAGGAGGATGGACCATGGATGATGGGACTTCAAGTACCTTCACTCATTAGCTGAAAACAATGCAACCGTCATCCAATGACCAATAAAGACCAAACTTGGCATATAGAGCCCCCATTACCCACTTTCTCTAATAACCCGGGCAGCAGAAAGGATTATGTAGTGTATAGGTGTGTGGGGAGGGCTTATAAAGACTTAAAATAGTGTACAACTACTAAAATCTATATAAATAAAAATGTAATGTTCGTTTGTGGGATTAACATAACTCAAAAACCACTGGACGAATTGACACCAAATTTGGACACCTATCACTCCAACGAGTGACCATCCCTCATAACAACACTGAAAATCATAGCAGAAGAGATTTTAAAAGCCAAAACGTAAAAAATAAATTACAACGCATGCGCAAAACCACATACATATACACAAACACACATATATAAACACACAAAACACATATACACAGACTGGGCCACTACAATGCGTGGCAGGGGACGGCTAGTAATGTATAAATATTAAAATAAATATAGCATCCCTACTTTGTGGATTTTCACTTTTCGTGGGTGGTCCTGGAACGTAACACCAGCGATAAGTGAGGGAATTGTGTACTGCAATTTGGAGAATGATGTGCTGAGTCTCAAGGTTGCTCCGTTTGGGAAGAATACGGTGCCATTAACATGCATCCAACTGGGACCCTCTCCCCAACTTGCATTAGTTATGAGCAAGTGCCAGAGTGGTTCAAATAGGGGAAGGGGCTCCTTTTATATATCTAGATACAAGCCTGCCAGCTTTTTCCAAAGGCAAACCAACAAGGGGCAGCCCCAAAGTTTCACCAAATGAGACCACGCCTGGGCCGAGAAAACCGAGCTCTGTATCCAGCAGCCTTAAATCAAGTATTTTTCACCCTTTTCCTGATGTTTACAGCTGAACGGCTGGTGCTGATGTCACTGCAAATTAGCTAATTGGCACCGGGTAAAAATAGTGCCAAAGAAAGGCTCAGATTCCGAACAGAGAAACAGCTCGGAAGTAGAAGAGGAATGCTGCAGGAGGCAAGGGGCGGCTTGGGAGGTGCCTTCTGTTCCCAGTGCCCCTCATCTTCTACTCCCCCATGTCAGCTCTGGGGCACTTTCTAAAAGGAAGGGGGTGAAGTGGCTCAAGGTTAAAGTTGCGTCCCTTTTTCTTTCATACATACGTACACTGCGTGCCATGCCCTGGCAGTAGAATCATACAGTTGGGGCATCTAGTCCAACCCCATTCTGCCCAAGAAGCAGGAAAATCACATTCAAAGCACTCCTGACAGATGGCCATCCAGCCTCTGCTTCAAAGCCTCCAAAGAAGGAGCCTCCACCACACCCTGGGGCAGAGAGTTCCACTGCTGAACAGCTCCGGAACTCTCGTCTGTTTGAATCTCTGACGATTCGGTTCACCTCCTCTGGCACACCATAGGATGCATTTTCAAATAACTTTATCCACATCACAACCTCCCCCCAAATGATGCTTGTCCTGGGACTCTTCCACACTGCTCTGCCATAGCACTATGATTCCACTTTAACTGCCACAGGGAATCCTGGGATGTGTACTTTGGGGAAACACTAGAGGAATGCTCTGGCTGACAATTCCAAAGTACCCAATCTGCCAGTCCCAGGTTTGGACAAGATGGCAGCGGAACGAGATCTCCAGTGTGTAATGCCTCCAGTTTTGTAGCTGTTGTTGAGGAATACGAGGGTTGAATGAAAAGGAATGCCTCCACCTTCGTAACTCTTCAACAGATGGCAGTACTGGTATGCGGCAGGTACTGGCTTGTTCAGTAGACTCTCCTCTACTGTTCTATTTTGGCGGGAAGCCTTAGCATTGAACGGTTATATTGTTAAAGTGCAAAGTATGGAACCCTGCGCAGACTTAAGAAATGTGCAGTCATTGAATTCTTGACAGCAGAAGGTGTCACCTCAACATCTTTAAACGACTCACAGTACTCACATCAACACAATCACCATAAACAATTTGCATTCTCTGATGAATCTCCTTTGCGGTGACACCTTCTGCTGTCAAGAATTCAATGACTGCACGTTGCTTAAGTTGCATTGACCGACCGTCTGCGCAGGGTTCCCTACTTCGCACTTTAACAACACAACCATTCAATGCTAAGGTTTCCTGTCAAAATGGAACAGTAGAGGAGAGTCTACTGAACAAGCCAGTACCTGCCACATACCAGTACTGCCATCTGTTGAGGAGTTACGAAGGTGGAAGCATTACTTTTTACTTTAACAACACAACCATTCAATGCTAATGTTTCCTGCCAAAATAGAACTGTAGAGGAGAGTCTACTGAACAAGCCAGTACCTGCCGCATACCAGTACTGCCATCTGTTGAGGAGTTACGAAGGTGGGGGCATTACTTTTCATTCAACCCTCATACAAATGGGAAATTGCTCCTACCTTCCCTTTACCTGCTGGTGGGCTTCTCACGCTTGTTAAGAGTGGGCTTTTGTCCACCGAGCAAGACAGGATGATGGGTTATGGAGTCCAATTGTGGCCTAAGGCAGCAGAGCGTATGCATTTTATTCAGGAGGTGCACTTTTCCACGATACACTGGTGAAATGATTGCCGTGGGTTTAGCCCTTAGACTCAAGTTGGAAGAGACCACAAGGAGCATCCAGTCCAACCCCCTGCCATGCAGGAACGCCCAGTCAAAGCACTCCTGACAGATGGCCATCCACTCTCCACAAGACAAGAGTATATTTAATAGGGCTCATTTCGGGAGACGGAAAGTTGTGGCCATTACAGTATTTTCTCTAAACCTTTGGAACAAATTGTACCTTGATGGGAAAAAGGTGCAGAGAAAGAAAAGGGCAGAAAATGGGCGTCACATCTCTCCTTTTCAAACATTTAGATGCCCCCCCCCCCAAAAAAAAAAAAACCCTTCAAAATTCCCAATGAAGCCCAGAAACACTGGCCTGTAAGTAAGGGGCAGGAGCTGGACCCAATGTGAACAAGAATCCAGTGAAGGCACTCATTCTTTTTTACTTTCCAGCCTGCTTTCCTTTTTCTTCCCCTCCTTTTCCCCATTTCCAATTCTCCCCTTTCCCCCCAAAAAAACCTGATGCTCAGACCGTGCTAACTGTGTGTACATATATATTATAAATATATGTATATTAAATATAATATTTGACTGTTTAGTGTTAACTTATTCTTTGTTTATTTTTGTTGTCAAATGGACCAAAAAAAAAAAAAGGCAAACGGGAACTATAACGAGAGTATTTCTGAGTAAAACACATTTTTGATTAAAGACGTATTTGAGTTAGAAAGGAATGCATTTCAGCATATGCCAGAAAGTGGCCAAGGAAAGAGGATTGCTAAACTGGCTTGATTGACTGAATAAAGAGGCTAACTATTCCCATCTGTGGCTACTAGTCATGGGCCTGAAATTTGTCTCATCAGTTTCATTCGTGTTCCCGTTTCGTTCCGTACATTCGGATGGCACAAAATGGGAAGGCCCCTCCTGGAGCGAAAATAAAATCGACACGAAAGACAGACAGGAGTGGGTACCGGCTCCAAGCCTGCTTTTCGGATCAATTGCCACACGTAGGCTCGAAGCGCCGGGGGTCTGGCAGGACCTGCAGCCGAGTGCCAAGTAAGGAGCGCTCCTTACTTGGTGCTCAGCAGCAGGCACCCCAGCATGATACGAAAGACAGACAGGAGTGGTTACCGGCTCTAAGCCTGCTTTTCGGATCTATTGCCACACGTA